CAATTCTTAAATAGAAACAATCTGGACTTTCAGGGTTTCAAATATTGGATCCTTTGTTAAATATTATATATTCCAAATAAAGTAGATCTGTAGGACAGGTGACATGTTGTACTACACAGTCACTGTCTGTGCTTTGTTCTGCAATAATTGTCATTTCCCCGTGTTCCCATTGTAAATGCCACCTTCCCAAGGAAGGGCCTACAGCTCAGATGATCTACTGTAAGGTGACTTCTTTATCCTAATCTAGACCTGAAAACTAGCCTGCTCCCACTCGGGTTCTCCTGTGCCCCAGTGCTTAGCCTTGTCTACTGTCGTCAGCAGCTGCCTGCTCTCAGGCTGAAATCTGAGAGGTTGTGGGAACAAGAAAATAGCCAGTTCTGTCTGCATTTCTGAGACAACCTCTTAGCCAAGATAGTCAGCATTATGAATTTGGTAATTTCACTGGGACACAACCACAAAAGGGGGACTGTGTTCTTCTGCACTGTGCTGAGTGCGTTGCATATTATTAGAACCTGAGCTCTAAGGACAAGACCAGGCATGGACGGCTCCTGCTGTTGAGATGAGCTGGAAAAGTAACTTACTCTTTATCAATCAGGGAAGCTCTTTACCACCAAATGCTCTGGAAAACAAATAGCACAGCTGACCATTTGGAATCTTGTTATCCAAAACACTTGTACCTCTTTGGTCATCCCCTGTTTCATCATAGGTGCTATGAACTGAAATACCAGATCCTCCATGGAACTTCCTTGCAAAGCACATTTTATTTCCCACTTTGCAAATGGGTCTCAGAGAGTTTACACAAAAGGTATTTGTAGACTGCAAAATTGAAGCCATATCTATTTACAAAGTTATTTTTATTATGGTATTTCATATATGGTGCAACTATCAGCTATAATTAAAAGGACAGTTTGTTATGCTCAGTTCAGCAGGTGAGAAGAACATCATGTCATGGTGGGGCTACATCAGAAGGGTCCCTCAAGAGGCAGAGGGATGAGGGAGAGATTCAGGCTAGAGCCTTACTCTGGTTTTCACAGAAAGAATAGGCAGGTGAATAAGCAGGTTTGGTGTTGCTTGATTTGAATAACTGCAGTAGACTCTTGGGGTGAACATCTGTCCACTATATCTGGCATCTGGCCAGGGTGATTACAGCAGGAGAAGAGTGCTCTGAAAGCCAGCTGAGGACAGAGGCGGTGCACCATAAGCTCTAAGTCAGTCTATACATGAAAAAGGGCCTATTCCAAGCTAGGTGTCCTCCCTATCCAGAAGCTGGCCAGCCTTTGAGGGGAGACATTCTCTTCTAGCTCAGCAAGGCCATAGATGTCTAAGAATCAGGGATATAGAAAATGAAAGGCATGATTAAGATGGCTACTGGGCCTGCTCTTAGACCCAAAGATCAGAGGCACCAAACTTTAAAGTTCAGAGTCACCTGATTCTGAACTGATCAGTCTCTAACCTTGCATTTCCTTCAAAATGTGCTTCATTTGTTCATTCAAGTTGTTGGCATTGTTATAGGCACTGGAGAATGAAACTGTTGAGGGTCTTTCTATAAAAGAACCCAGAGAGTAGGGTAAGGTGCAGATCTGTAAACTAGTGACCATGAAAAGAATTTTAAAGAGAATTCTGTGCACATTACACTAGGGCAAATACAGAAAATAGCTGCACCTTGGACTCCTGCTGTCAGGATCTGACCCTTGCCTGCATTGCCACCCACTGTGTCTGCTCTTCTCACAGCCCTACATACCCTTCCAGGTTAATTTTTTCTCAGCTTCTCATCAGTTTACTCCCCAGTTTAAAATCATTTCCTGTGGCCTCCAAAAGTACAAACACCTACTTTCAAGACCCACTGTGTGACTCCACCTGTGGACAGCCACCTGGAGGAAGACTCACCCTGAAAGAAGACAACTTGCCTCCTTTGTGATTCAACTTTGCCCTACTTCTAAGTGTACTGATGTGTACAGAGCTGGCTTGGAAAGTGCTCTTCCCCCTCAATTGGCTTTAAGCAATGCAAATGGGTCTGGCTGAGGTGCTGATGTGTAGCCTTGGAAGCAATGCAACAGGTCAGTGATACCCCACCTATAGCTATCTACTGCCAAGCATGAGCTAGGCAGAAACACCACACCATGGCCTGGGATTGAGCATCAAGAAAGAGGTGGTGAGGTCCCAGGGCAGTAAGAGCTGCGTGTCAGAGCTGAAGCAATGGACCCATAACACAGGATACTTCTTCAAACTGTGTCATGCAGATCCCTCCCAACTGAGAGGCCACCTGTTGCCAGAATTGGGTCTGTTTCTGTATACCTCTCTGTATACTGCTGAGGTGTCATTGAGGCTTACCTAGCCCAGTTCACAGTACTTGTATACTTCTGCCATTCTCATAGTCACTCAACCCTGAGCCACTCCCCTCTTCACAAATTAATAAAACCTGGGTTTGGCCCTGGGTCATGGGCGTTGTTCAGGTTAGCTTTCTTCCACCTGGACTTTGGACCCCTTTGGTCCCCTACAACTGCAGATTTGTCTTTGTCTCTTTATTCTCACCATGGGTTGCATCCAAAGTGGTAGATTGGAATTTATTTGCTAAAATTCCAATAATTTTTTCCTGAGATTACAAAGTACAAACTGGCTTCCTTATTCATCCATATTTCTGCTACTTTGCTTATCTTCAGATTTAACATACATTTACTGTGACCAGGGTGTGCCCAGCACAAATAAGATTCCACTGGAACACATGGCAGGTAGCACAGAGAACTGCGAGGTGTTCCGCGAGCATGCAACATGCTCACACTGTGCTCAGTCATCCTGCAGATGGGTACTGGGTTCCCATGAGTGCCAGTCCCCTTATTCTTCACAAATGTGTTCATGTCTTTAAAGTGATTGTTGAATAGCTGATCCCTTACTTGTGCTTCTGTGTTTTATACATACTTTTTACTTTTTACTATGTTTCCGGAGCCTAGGCTGCTATGGTTTGTGTGTAGGTGTCCCCTCAAAGCCTCATGCAGTCCTGGAGTGGCTTCTGGAGTTTGTGATTGATTATTGTGGGTGTGGTTGCTGTAGGTGGGGTAGGTAGGTAATTTGCATTACAATGTAAGGAGGGGAGAAAGGCTAGTTAGCTGCCTGAGCTGCCACCACTCCCTTTTCTCTCTTGCCACCATCTTGAATGGTTGCTCTCGGCCATGTGCCACTCTGCCTTGGAGCCAGCTGAGTAGGGACTGAAACCTCCATGTACTGTGAGCTAAATAAACTTTGCCTTCCTTCATTTTGGGTGTTGGGTATTTTTTCCCAGCAATGAGTGAAAAGTAACTGAGATACTAGACACAATACCAGAACATTAGATGGTCAATAAATACTAAATAACTGCGTTCACATGTGTACCACTCATGTCCTCCTTGAAGCTCACATAAGTCTCCTTTCTCTCACCTGCTCTACTTTCTATACAAAGTAGCCAAAGTAATATCTTTAACTATGCATTACTTAACCCAGTAGTACATCCTGATATGTGTTAGATGGCAGACCCTTAGAGGTTCCAGAATATTTCTTGCCACATAACTCACAATGAAATCTACAGAAAATACATTCGGATTTGCTTCATTTTTTAATGTAAGTGACCAGTGGTTTTGGTATTATTTTGAAACAGTTCCATGAAGCTCTATGAATGGAATTTAACAACTTCTACTAGGGAGTTTAGTAGATAATACTGCATATAGCTAAGAACAAGAAATTTAGATAAAGAAAAATTAAAGTTTAAGACCTTTCATTACTCCATTGTGACCATGAACAAATGATTTAACTGCTTTAATCTCAGTTTTGTCATCTCCCCAGTGAAGAATAGTACCTTCCTCATGAGAGTTCTATAAATAATAAGTGAAAGAATTGTATGTAATGTTAACTCAGTGCTGCTCTAGCAAGAGCTATTGTCATATGTTTATACTACTGGTGCACTGTAGTAGATATACTTGACTTCTTACAATTCTGCTTTAAAAGAGAGCTGCAGGGTAAGGGGACTATGGCAGTTCAAAGCAACTTAGTGACTTTTTCAAAGTCTTCCAGCTAGTGAGAATCAGAGCCAGAGCCCATGTCTGCTCCTGTGGCTGCCAAACAAACCTACTTGCTCTTTATCTCTATCAGGCCAAAATAACCCATCTGCTCATAGTTTGAATGAAAATAAACCCCTCAGAATGGTGATTGTAAAGTCCTTGAAACTCAAGTAAACACTCAGAATACACAGATTAAGTTTGGGAACTCCAGCACAGCTTTGGCCCAGTGTCAGCCCACAGAATAGGGCATGGGAACAAGTGGTGTTCCTGATGCATGGTACGTACTGTTTTGTTTAGAGCCACCACACTGATTGGGAACTCGATCCCAGATACAGGACTCCAGACAGAAGTATGGCCTTTGCACAGTGCAGACATTTCTGTCCTTGGAAAGCTGTCCTAGTTTCTCCTGTAGCAATTCTCAGCCCTAGGGAAGTTCTTCTGACACATCTAGAGGAGTGCAGTGTTGTTTAACTGGAACTCCCGCAGCATATCCTCCCTCCTTCCTTCTGTCAGAGCTGTCCCCTCTGTGAGCACAGTGCACAAGTCATTCAAGGTGTGACATAACCCTGCGGTAACAGCCCATATTGGAAGGGGAACTAATGTGTCTAAAGACACTGTTTCTCACAGACAGACACCACACCACGTACAATGAATTTTCCTCTCCTTCTTCCTCCTTACTGTCAGATCAGATCTTACCTGCTACTACCAGTTCAGCCCGAGAGCTGCTACTTTTCTCTCTAAACTTGTTTTATGGATGCAGTTCTTCATTTTATAAATCCAGGAGCCTGGCACTAGGCTAAGCAAAGCTAGATTTCTGATAGAACTGAGATGGTCTTGTAGAATTAGCACTTTTGCTATGTTTCTGGATTATGTGTGGTGAAAAAAAGATAAAAAACAGGAATTATAAATATTTTTTCTGTTTAAACATAGAGTAGAAAAGCTGTAACACTAACCATACTCTTTTGCTTTTAGATAGACCACGTGGTACAGGGGCACACTGCCTTCCCTGAACTACAAACCAAGGCTGCTGCCAGGTAATTGCTTTTTCTCTGTGACTCCTTCTGTGATGGTGTGGATGGTACTCACTGTGGGCAGCTGCATGGCTTTCAGGTTCTAGGCACAATGAGAATACCTGTTAGTCCTTGATTTTACAGTAGCCATCCAGATGGCTCTAAATATATTTGCATTAATTTCCACAGTGACCCAAGAGAACTCAAAGAGCCTCTAGATCCCCCAAGAATATGCCAAGGCTATGGATGAGAACCTCTCATGCAATAAAGATGTGTGTATTTGGGGCTCACATTATAGCTTTTGCCCTTCCCAGGTGCGTGACCCTGCAGTCTATTAACTTATTGAAATTTCTTTATCTGTAGCATGGGTAGAAAGATAGAGTAGTTTCTAAGATATATTAAGTAAGGCTCAGCTTAAAAGAGTGTTACACGCACACATTTTCATGTAAAAAGAAGATAGAAGAAAATATGTCTTTCTAGCTATACAAAAGAAACAGATGAATCAGAAGTTAGTCATTTATAGAGATTGGGTTAGAATTGGAAGAAAAGATAGTGGGAGTGGGAGCAGAGGAGTAAGATGGAATGAGATTTCTGAATGTATTTTCTTATTCTGTACATAAAACTCTTAGAACTCTAATGGTGCTTCATGTCCCCCTAAAATGAAAAAAGAAGATAGACAGACAGGAAAATAGGTAGACTAGGAACTCTGTCTGTGGTGGGTTGGTAAAATGAAACATGAACAGTAAAAACCAAATGTACTATATCACAAGTGAATACCATAATCACACTGAAGAGGGTTAGGGAAAGAAAGGAACTTACCCAAGTAACTTTAGGTTGGTATGCTGAAGAGCTCCAGATAGAAATAGTTGTACTTGAATTTTCTACTTCTAATTCATAAATGTGTTTTTCGTAAGTGTATAGGTTGGCTATTCTGGAAATTCTATGATTGATGTCTCATAAATAAAGTCACAATGAACTTTATGACACCTGAGGAAGTCAGAAGTATGAGTATCAATTTGTGCTTTTTGACATATACACAGCTAGGTAAAAATAGAAATAAACGTAGAAATGTGTGTTCATGTGTGAGTTGAGCAGACACACCTCTGCTCCATGGACGTCTCTGGTAAGATGCCTTCAGCCCAGGTGCCACACCAGTGCTGGCTTCTAAGTACTCTTCTGGGCTGGAAAAATACATGAACATTTTGTGGTACCAAAAAAATTGCACAGAGGCCAGTTTTAAGAATCTTTTCGAGACCCAGTCCTAGCCCAGGTCTGGTGAGTGTGTGGAGAGCTTCCTGCTACCCTGCACTGGCGGGACCAGTCCCAGCCCAGGCGCAGCATGGGCCGGACCCTCTCCCATCCCCTCGGGCCGCCCCACACCACTCTGCCGTACGTCCCCACCCCTCCCGCCGAGAAGGAACTTCTGCCGACTTCCGGGAACCCCCAGACCCA